GCTACACCAGCCAGGGCTGTATCTGTTTGTATTGGATTATCATTCATATTTCAGGCAGAGCTTTCACAGACTGTACAAATGTTAATAACCAGATAACTAATCTTTAAGATTTTGGTTATTTGACATCACACAGTCTTGATGAGTGATAAGCAGGATATTTTGCCCCCAATACATATTAATGCCAATTTATGTTTAAAAAAACAAAAGACCTCTCAGCAATTACCATTGTGCTTGGGCAGAATGAAATGAAAATGAAAAAGCACTGTCTTAGCAGAGACAATCTCTATGAAATAAAAGTCTACCAATTTGCATCTCCTCTTGTAAAATACTGTTGAGATATATATGCATCACAAAGCAATGAAGATTCACTAATAATAATGCATGTCAAGCACCTTGCACAGTAAAGGGTACATAAATATATTTTACTTCTCTTCCCATTTCCTCACATGTGAACTTGAAGAGGGGAAGTGAGAAGCAAAGTAGAAGTTTAGGACAAACCTAGCCAGCACTTCCCTTCCAGTTCTGAGTCTTCTGTTACCACCACCAGACCAGACTGAACAGAGGCACTTCAGCAGCCACTTACAGGACTGTGTTCTCAACTGGGCCATGTAGCTATGAAAAAAAGACACTGCTTCATCCAATGTGAGGCTATTTCTGTCTCATCTGAGTTGATGTAATCCAGATTATATTCTGGGTTTCCAGTGCTTTCTTATCAAAAATACAAGTTTCTTTACAAGTTCATGGTATCTGTTTGTGCCTGACATTAAAAGCTCTCCATCAATGTCATATCTGTTGTGAATATTTTTCCCACCTTGTACTTTGCTTTTATTCTTATGATTTTTGACCCCCGAAAAATCTACTTTTTTTTTTGTCAAATCTATGCATTTTTCCCTATGGTCATTTCTATTATCTTATCGATAGAAATTTCTTTCCCATCCACAAATGAGCTAGTCACTTACATATTTTTAAATCTTTTAATGATTTCATCATTTACATTTAACTCTTTGATCCACTTATAATTTGTGTGTGTGTGAAAAACTAGGTGAGGCTATAATTTTTTTAATTTTAAATAAGAACAGCACTATTTATTACTCCATCCCTTCCTTCCCCAATGATTTTTGTGGTGTCTCCTTTATTTGTGGTGATTCTCTCTAAGGGAGGAGGGTATATCAGAGTCGTTCAGGAAACCTTTTAAAAATTCACTTAACCTCACTTTGCAAGATTCTAGCACATCATAACTAACAGAATCTTAGCTTTCCCTCAGATTTATTCCTGCTCCTATCCTTTTAGAGCCATTAATTTGTCATATAATCTTCTTGTGTATCATTGAAGGTCTGCTTAGAGAGGTGTATTCTCTTCCACTGATAGGTGTATCTTTGCATCTGTGCCACAGCGTTCTCCTTATTAAAGGATAAGAATAGATTTTAATATCTGGTAAAATGAATTTCCATTTATATTTCAAAAGGCTAAAAAATAATTAGCCCATTAACACATTTCTGCAAAATCCAGGTTGCCTGTTGAGAACTCAATTTCATGCTGTTTTTCTCTTGTGGATAACTTTCAGTAAGGCTTTGCTTCAAAGAGTTGTAATTATTAGTTCTATTTTTATAGTACTGAAAAGAAGTTGAAAATAATACCTTCTGTACTAGAACAGAATTTTCTTTTTCCAGTGACCTGATATTAGAAATTTAACCATCATCAAACCCAGCTCTTCCCAGAATAATTTTTAAAACTAACAGCAATATTCAGCATTTAGGTCTCTCTCTAGCAGTCAGGCAATTAACTTTTTCCGTGTTTGGTTTTGCGTATGTGAGATGTTATCTTGAAACTTTTTCTGGAGATTTTTTGTAAGGTGAGGATACATTACTTCTGAATTTCCTTTTTCTGTATGCTTCTAGAACTAAACCTTGGGTTAGAGGAAGTAGGGACAATGTTTCCTACTTGCACACACTAAAGCTTAATAAAAAATTAAATTTGCTAAGTCAATAGTATGTTTTTTTTTAATTTAGAAACATTCTCAGGATTCAAGTTACTGTAAGGCATGTTATTAGTGAAATTTCTATTGGTAAACAGACACATTGACTTTCATCAAAATTTATCTTACCACAAATGTTATAGCAAGATTTAACTCAGTATACTTTTTAATTTTTTAATGAGTGCCATTGTATAGGGCTTTATAGAGGACATCTCACTTAATAAAATTTTGGGACAGCTTCAAGAACTATAAGTCTATTTGTTTCTTTTAATATTTCATAAAACTAATAATAATAAATGGTATAATGTAACCACTCAAATTCTGTGTTTATAAGAGATACATGTAGAAGTATAAAATATTTACTAGCAATGTAAAATAAATTAATTTTGAGAACATGAGGGAAAAGCAATATTTAAAATTATCTAAAAGAAATGCTGAATTTCAGATAAATGGTGTTAACCTTGTCAAAGAAAGGCAGTTAATAAAAATTTTATTACTTTTTCTGAGCCTCTAATTTTTCTGCAAATTTTTATTTTGTTTTTTAAATATAATTCTGCATCGACCAATTCTTTTTTCAACCAATTTTGTGCACTTATTAAAATAGAGCTGAGCACTAATTATATACAAGCCAAATCTCATGAAAATAAATTTAGCCCTAACAAAATTCTTCATACTTTTTTTTCATACTCTTCAATATTGATTTCTCAGCTAGTGGTCTACCAAGAAGTGTTCTGACTATAACTTATTCTCATATACTGTGACACAAACTTATGAATGGTTCCTTGGAGTTTGTCAGAACAGTCTTTTACTTTTCCAGCCAAGATGGAGGCATAGGTAGAAATGCTCCGGTTCCTTGCACAACCAAAAGAAGAATAACAACCAATTTAAAAACAACTGACAGTCAGAACTTCCAGAATACCAATCTCTGACAACTAAGTAGTTAAAGAAACCTTCATCCAGACTGGGAAGAAGGGCAGAGGGAGACGGGCAGCCTGGCAGGTGGAGAAGACCTGCAGCAAAGCAGCAGGCAGAGCAAGTAAGGAAGGGCTGACTTACTGGGAAACTAAAGACCCAAAACTTCTAGCTATAAATACTGTGGGGGTTGCAAAAGTGGGAGAAACTCCCAGTCTCACAGGAGAGTTCATTGGGAAGTGGGACTAGAAACAGAGCACGTGGCATTGTTCCTTCTCAGACCCCTCTCCCACAGACAGCAAAGAGGATTGCCCCACCCTAGTGAATACCTAAGGCCCTGCCCCCTAACAACTTAACAGGTGCACCAAGACAAAGAAATATGGCCCAAATGAAAGAACAGATCAAAACTCCAGAAAAAGAGCTAAGCGACAAGAAGATAGACAACCTATCTGATGCAGAGTTCAAAACACTGGTAATCAGGATGCTCACAGAACTAACTGAGCTCAGTGTCAAAATGAAGGAGCAAATGAAGGCTACACAAAGTGAAATTAAGCAAAATATACAGGGGACCAACAGTGAAAGGAAAGAAATTGAACAAATAATGAAGGAAAACTTCCCCAATCTGGTGAAGGAAATAAACTTCCAGGAAGTCCCAGAAACTCAGAGAGTCCCAAAGAAATTGGACCCAAAGAGGAACACACCAAGGTACATCATCATTAAGTTACCCAAGGTTACATTTAAGGAGAGAATCTTAAAAACAGCAAGAGGAAAGGAGACAGTTATCTACGAAGAAGTGCCTATAAGACTATTAGCTGATTTCTCAAAAGAAACCTTGCAGGCAAGAAGGGGCTGGAAAGAAGTATTTGAAGTCATGAAAGGCAAGGACCTACATCCAAGAATATTGTATCCAGCAAAGCTATCATTTAGAATGGAAGGGCAGATAAAGTGCTTCCCAGATAAGGTCAAGTTAAAGGAGTTCATCACCATCAAGCCTTTACAATATGAAATGTTAAAGGGACTTATCTAAGAAATAGAAGATCAAAACTATGAACAGTAAAATGACAACATACTCACAGCTATCAACAACCAAACCTAAAAAAAAATAAAAACAAAGTAAGCAAACAACTAGAACAGGAACAGAATCAGAAATGGAGATCACATGGAGGGTTTTCAGTGGGGAGGGGGAGGAGGGAGAATGTGGGGAGAAGGTACAAAGAATAAGAAGCATAATTGGTAGGTACAAAATAGGGAGAGGTTAAGAATAGTATAGGAAATAGAGAAGCCAAAGAACTTATATGTACAACCCATGGATATGAACTGGGGGGGAAATGCTGAAGGGTAGGGTGGTACAGTGTGGAGGGGGAATAAAGAGAAGAAACAATTAGGACAACTGTAATAGCATAATCAATTAAATATACTTTAGCCCTGGCTAGTGTAGCTCAGTGGATTGAGCATGGGCCTGTGAAGCAAAGGGTCACCAGTTCGATTCCCAGTCAGGGCACATGCCTGGGTTACGGGCCAGGTCCCCAGTAAGGGACACATGAGAGGCAACCACACATTGATGTTTCTCTCCCACTATTTCTCCTTCCCTTCCCCTCTCTCTAAAAAATAAATAAGTAAAATATAAAAAACAAAAATTAAATATACTTTAAAAAAAGAACAGGCTTTTACATATTCAGTCAATGGCATTCTGATTCTGTGTTTGACCAAAGAACAAATGTCAGCCAAACTTTTGAGAATGGTTGCCTTAATGACATCTCCTTATTACAGCTGTATGATGTTCTCTGCAGCTATGACCAGGACTAGGTAAAAAAAAAACCCAAAATATACCCTCTTATACTATTCTGTTAAGCACCTCTTCCCCCCTTCCTGTCTCATTCATCCTTCCATTCATTCATTTATTCACTCATTCACTCAATTATTCAACAAATATGTATCGATATGTATTCCAGGCAAGGCACTAATTAAACTCTGGGGAATCAGTGATGAATAACATTTCTTTCTCTTAGATCTTACTCTTTAGTTATTTTTGAACATTCATAAAAATTTCAGAATTTGCTCTTTTTAATTCTGATCTACAGTGTTCTTTATTATTATGAACTATATCACTCAGAATATACCAAAAATAATATAGCAAATACCCATATACTACCACACAGTTTTAACAGACATTAACATTTTACTATGTTTGCTTCAAATCTCTCCAGATATAACCGTTTATTTTTAGTTGGTGTGCATGTTGTATATATTACCATGCATGTTTTTTTATTTTTATTGTGTAAATATAGAACCATAAAGAAAATGGTACTGTTTCATGTATTTTTGTATTTTACTTAACTGCTTTCATACATTACATACTCTTTTGCAGTTTGTTTTTTAATTCAGCATTGTTTTTGAGGATTCCGTTCATGCATGCAGGTGTAATTCATTTCATTTAAGTGCTATGCAGTACTCTATTTTGTGAATAAGCCACAGGTTAGTTTGCCATTCATTGGTGATGCATACTCACTTAGGTTCTTTCCAATTGTTTACTATTATGAACATCATTATGAACATCAGATGTTCACTGAGCATCATTACATATGTGTTGTTCTATATGTGTTTGAGGTTCTATAAGTTGTATAGGGTGTGCATATTTTCAATTTTACTTTGTCCAAGTGTGGTTCAAGATGGCTTAGTTTTAAGTCCTGTTGCTAGACTATGGAATTCTTAGCTTATCTGTTTGATTTTACTGCACAATATTTAAATTCTTCCCATTTTATCTAAGCAGTGATTTCATTTTTTATTATAAGTTTATTATCATTTCATCTGTTATACAGGTTTAGGCATCAATGAATACAGTGGCAAATTTACAAGCTTTTGAAGTGATAATCAACATATATTTTCTGACATTTTAAATCAGCCCTCCCATCATTTAACTTATTTGAAACACACTTGAAATTAGAATTAGGTACTTAGTTTTGAGTAACTACTTTAGTGACTTGAGAAACTGACATTTCATTTAATTATTCTGTTAAAGCCATAAATTTAACTTAATTTTATAATCTACATTGAGTGTTAGCTTAACAGTATATTTTTAAGATTTACATACAGATTTAAAATCTAGTGATCAGTGTAAGCCTTTCAATATCACAAATAAGAAAGGAGCTTCGAGAAGAACCGACCCTTGTAAATGCTTGAGTTTTTGTTTCATAATATTTAGTTCTTCAAGAAATTGAAGCTTTTTAATATGTTTACCTCAAATGCTTTAGGAATTAGTTTGAATTTTAGCTACAGTAGACATATCATGAAGGGGGTATCCTGGTTTAAATTCTGAAGTGCTTTCACTCCTGCTTGATTCCCCTTGAAATCTTCTAGAAAGAAGTTGGCACATTATTTTTCGGATATTACTAGACATCAGGAAATACATGACTGGATCTAAGCAGCTATTGAAAGATGAGAAAACCAGCATAATCTCATTGGTTTTGTGAATGATTTCCTTCCAATAACAAGATGGCACATTTAGCTGTAAAGAAATATAGACAAATCGGAAGGCGTGATAGGGAACAAAACATATAGTAAAAATGATAAGCACGATAAAGGAATTCCGGGCTGTAGTGGCATATTTGCCAGAATTAGGAAATTTTGACCTTCTTTTAGAAATCCTCATTAGATTCTTGCCAATCTTAATATATGAAAGGATTATTAGTAGGAAAATTAGCCAGAACATCACCACAAGAACTAAGTTAAAAATTGCTTCTCCTTTTGCATTAAGCTTATCTCTATAATGGAAACACATTGTGGAATTGTGACCTCCTTTCTTAAGGGTTAAAATGATCATAATTAAAAATCCAGTAAGAGCTACTGTCCATACTGTACAGCAAACATAAATACTTTGTTTGGTTGTTATTGCCTTTCGTTGTTGTATAGACCGATTAATTTTTATGTAGCGATCCAAACTGATGAATCCAAGCAAGATAATGCTAATGTACATGTTCATATAAAATAGTGTTCCCACAACCTTGCAAAGAATCACACCTAGTGTCCACTTGTTTTCGTTAATGTGATACATTATTCGGAAAGGGAGGCAGAAGATAAGTAAGAGATCTGCAATGGCTACATTAAGGAGGTAAATCTGAATGGAATTTCTTTTACGATGGATACCCAGAAATACATAGAGGGCAATTATGTTTCCAAACAGTCCCATAATGAAAATAACAGAGTAGAATGCAGTTAACACACGAGACAGTAATTTTTCATCCATGGGGCAGGCAGTAGAATTTGGTGTTGCTGAGTTGTGTGGCACTTGGTCGCTGTGGTTAGTTACAAAGCACGCTCCCTGGGAGGAGCAAGGCCATCTGCTGACTGAAGTAGTTGTCATTGTTATGGTGTGACTTTTCTTCTGTAGTGATCAAAAAGTGAAGTTACCAAATGACATGTTCTTCATGTGTAGCTTTTATAAGGTCTTCAGATTTTTCCTACAGTAGAATGCCAAACATTGAGTTATTTGCTAGTTTAATAAATTACTTTCACTCTTAAGCATAAATAATAAATGATTTTTTCAGACATTATAAGAAAGTTTATTTGTATCCTACTTTGGATCATTTGAATATCTACACTATGTATGTAGCACCACCATGGTATTAAAATCAAGCAGCAAAAAATATAATAGAATCTTATGGAATATCCTGTTCTAATCTTTTCTGTGTCTGTGGTATATGTTCAAGGTTTGTTTTATTTATTATATTAAAATAAATAACTGAAATATGAAATCATCTTAATTCAGGGAGTTTATGGGAATAGAGATGGAGGTGAAGAGAAATGACAGCTCATATTTTTCAAAGATAAGCATCAATTTCCCTAATGGTAGTTATAGCCATGATTGAGCTGGGCTCACTGCTGGCCTCTGCCTAGCTTTCTGCCTTGACTCTTTCCCTCATATGTGGCGTTCTTTCATTCTGACACACATTGCCACATGGTATATGACTAGTAAACTGTGGCAGTCTCTCATTGCATGGTGAGAGTAGAGAAAAGGGTCCTAACTGTCTTCCTTTTAAACCTAACACCATGTTGTGCCTACAGGAGCATGCAATTAACATAACAGGCCCAGGGAGCACAGCATCTGCCTGCATGAAAGAGCAAAGTTGAAGGGAGTTGAAGGAAATGGGCACCTTTCCCTGGAAATGTGAACACTTACAAGGACGTGGAGAAAAGGATTTTTCACCTTAAATATGTATCTTCAGAAAGTAGAACAAGAATCAATGAGTAGAAATTGCAGAACAGATGTCGCTTTCTTTTAAAGAAATGGTTTTCTGTTTGTTTGTTTGTTTGTTTGTTTGTTTTAAGAATGAAGCCATCTATCATGGGAGGTACTAAGGGTCTTACCAGCAGAGATTGTCCAGACTGCTACCAATTAGGTACTTTGTGGAAGAGATTCTCAGTGGTTCAAGATCCTGGATACATGTTAGAGTCCCCTTAAGGGCTTTATAAAGACACTGATGCTTGGCTTCATCCCCAAATCTGATTTAATTGGTCTAGAATGGGCTCCAAGCAGTGGTTTCCTTTAAAAGCTCCTCAGAGAATTCTAATGTACATGCAGAAATGAACCCTTTAGCTACACAGCTGAACCATTAACTAATTTTTATTTAGCATTTGCTGTTTACCAAGCAGTGTGTTAAGCACAGTTGTGATATTTCATATACATAATCCTTATAATAACCATGTGAGGTAACTATTACAAAAGAGTTCATGAAAGATCAAGGGGTTATGATCTTTACCTATGACCACACAGATCTTAAATGATAGTACCAAGTTGGGACTCAGCTATCTAGCTTTTAGAGCCTCCGATCCTTTTCCCCAAGCCTCTTTCCTCCTCATCACAAATGATTGGCATATTCTTTATTAATGATGAGTTCTGTCAGCAGTATTTTGAGATGATTCCTTTAACATTATCCACATCAGCAATTCTAAGATTATGCCATCTAGCTTGACTTCTTTGGAAAAGATATTAATCTTTTTAGTTGCTATACCCATTTTAGCAAGTAATAAGTACAGTCAAACCTTGGTTCTCCAACATGCCCTGTCTCAAACAGCTTAGTTCTTGACCAGCAGCTTGTTCATGGAGAAAATGCCTTGGTTGTTGGACAGAACTTCAGCTCTCAACCTGACAGCCCTTTCATGCTGATACCTGTATCATCAATCATGCATCTCTTAGGGGACAAACAAAGGAGAGAATGTACGAGTATGAGTGTGATTCAGCTTTCCAACAAATAGCTGCTCAAACGCCCTTCCAGAACAAATTAAGTTTGAGAACCGAAGTTCCACTACAAAAAGTTTAATAAATCATTTATCAGAATGTTCATCACTTACCCCAGAACATATCTCCCAACTTCCTTCTAGGCCTGATATCCTTAATCAAGATGTTTCTAGAAAGTTGTTAGCACAAAATACATATCCTGAAACCACTTGCCTCAGCTCTAACCTGCAAATATAATAAATACTAGTTAGACAAGATCACCAGTAAGCCTTTCTGGGTTTGCTTTATTTTCAAACTTAAAGTAAATAAGGCAAAAGCAATGTATTTGTTTAAATAGTAATAGTAGCCATCATTTAGAACCATGTATTAGATGGCTAGTGTTCAGTCATTTACTGACAAATTAACAAGTTAAATTCTGTTTTAAATGTAATGGCTACATTTTGCCTCCTTTACAATGTGTTGATAGGGTTAAATCTGGTATTTAACCACTATCTGTGTTCTTAAGGGCATTTATTGATGTTTTTAAAACTACTTATTTGATTTATTAACAATTGCCAGTGAAGACAGGAAATGAACCACTGTCTTCACATACTAGACAAATTTCTTGGTGGATATTACTTATGACTCATGCTATATTGAAGCAGTCACGATGGTTTTCTGGTGGGAGATGGTAAATGATTTTGTAGTATTGTTACTTGGCAAATCCTGAAGATTGCAACCCTGCGTTAGTGCTGTGTTAGTGTTACCCACCACCATCCTACCTTTGCCAGTATTTTTCAACTGGTTCATGTAGGAGCTTCTTGAACCCAACAGATCCCACTGTGGTCCTCAATGAGCAAAAGCTTTTTAAATGCAATTTGGGTATGTTTGTGCAAATACCACATTGCTATCTTAAAGGACATACTTGTTGGGCAACAGTAGCAACCTATCACCACTTATAGTTAGACTGAATCATGATAATGACTGAATCATTCAGGCCATGTGTCAAAAAGTTTTATTTGTATTACAGGTTGAAATGATTATATTTTCATATGTTGGGTTAAGTAAAATATATTATTCAGTTTTTAAAAACTGCATTGATTGCTGTATACAGAATGAAAATTGAAAGCATGTTACTCTGGAAATAATGCTACTAATAATACATTAGTAGTACATTAGGTTTTTATTATAAGCTTAACTATGTCTAAAGCCTCATTTTTTAAAATTTTGGTTAGTTGAATTAACTAAAGTGTATTGTGCTTTTGCTTTTCTCTAATATTCACGTTATTTACTTTTGAAGCACAAAACTTAAAATTTTTTAAACTTTGTTTTATTGTTGTTCAAGTACAGTTGTCTTCATTTTCCCCTCAGAAAACTAAAAATGGAACTGCCTTTTGACCTGGCAATTTCACTGCTGGGATTTATATCCTAAGAACCCTGAAACACCAATCCAAAAGAACCTGTGTACCCCAATGTTCATAGCAGCACAATTTACAATAGCCAAGTACTGGGAGCAACCGAAGTGCCCATCAGTAAATGAGTGGATCAAAAAACTATGGTACAGCCCTGGCTGGTGTGGCTCAGTGGATTGAGAGCTGGACTATGACGTAAAGGGTCGCCAGTTTGATTTCCAGTCAGGGCACATCCCTGGATTGTAGGCCAGGTCCCCAGTGAGGGGTGTGTGAGAGGCAACCACACACTGAAGTTTCTCTCCCTCTCTATCTCCCTCCCTTCCCCTCTCTCTAATAATAAAGAAATAAAATATTTTTAAAAATACCTATGGTACAAATATAAAATTTAATAAATCTGGTAATTACCATGAAGTAGTAATAGTATAATAAAGGAAATACAGTCATTAAAACTAGGGAGACAGGATAACTTTAAAAAGGTAATAAGTTAAATATCATTTTTAATACACTGGAAATAAAATCTGTTGCATATGAAAATAACATTTAACTTGTTCAAGTAGATCTGCAAGTCTTTATGGCAATATACAAAATATAGTACACACAATGTGACAATAACAGGAGTAGGAGCTTAAATACTTCCAGTGTCCTAAAGTACTTCAAGTAACTAAGAAGGCAGGTCAAGTCAAGGCAGAAGCATTATTCAAGCAGTTTATTCAAGTTTCTAAAAACAAAGTGTCACCACAAAGCAGGTTTCACTTTTAATATTCAGCTCTATCAAATTTCAACTAAAATAAAGGATCATTTATGTAGTTAAAACCAAGGAATACTCACAGTTCAGGCTCCCTTGAAGTAAACAGCACCGAACCCCAAGCTTCCCTAGACACACAGACTCTTCTTGGCATGTCAGCTAGTTTCCTCCATCTGGTCTGTGGTGTAGTTGGTTAGGTCTTTCTTTTTTAACATTTGCATGTGGCGATAGTTTTTTTCCTCTTTTCTTTCTTTTTTCAGTATGACAACCCTCAGACTTCATGTGAAATATTAAAAAGCCCTACCACTATGTAACAACTTTCTCTATAAACTCAGTGAACACTTAACTTTAGGACACTAATCTTTTATATGAATACTTTTTTACCTTGATAATTGTGGAAAGTTTTCCCTTATGCCTAAAAATAAAGAAGCTTTATAAATTCTAAGCAGAAATATGCATTTTCTCTTTTTTGCTAAGAAATGATACAGAACATGCTATATACATTTTTTCTTTAAAATATTTTATTTATAAAGCATAACAGTGGGATAAAGATACATAAGTAAAAACATAAAGTTACACATCACAAAATAATATCTGTGGTATCATACTATTATGTGATACAATAAATATAGCACTTCATTAATTTTATATTAGATCACATAATTTTTAGAAATTGATTTTCTGTTAATGCATTTTATATCCTAAAAATGTATAATTTTAGCAAAGTAATGTTTAATCTATATAGTTAAATACTAGTCACTTTCTAATTCAAGATTTCAAATAATTTTTAAATTTATTATGATTTTTATTATGATACAACTGTTATTACAGCTCATAAGAGCATGTTCTAAGCTGTGGCAATATTGAGATAAATTTTTGATAATTCTATGAAATTTAAATTGTTGTTTACAAGAGTTGCTTGTTCTTGGGGAACAATTTTTCTTTTTTTTTTTATAATGTCCAGAATTTGGACTTTATTTTATAGATAACCAGGAAGCCATAAAGTGTGGTAAAAAGATCCTTATTTGACCAGATTTGTTAATGAACTACTGCGAACAAGTAGAGCATGAATTGACTCAGACTTCTGTGTCTGTGTGCTGTATGGACTTTTAAAACACAATCATTGAATTTGTTTCTTTCTAGATTTGTTTTAGAAATTTAGTTATTCACATAAAATGAGATTTGTAATGGTACTCTCCCTGATTCATCACCATGATAAACTCACCCAAGTAAGTTGAAGGAATTCTACAGTTTTTATATTGGTCCAAATCTGATATTTAACTACTATCTGTCCATTTATGTAATTGCTGGCCCAGCATGTTAATGTCACTTTTTTTGTTGTCATTTAAAATGAAGAAAGTTACTTTCCCCCCCATAATAGTTTCTCTACAGCTTTGTTTAAAACTTAATAATATTTAACTCATTGAGCTTTACCTAACATTCTGATCATTTCTGGATACATACATTTTTCTGAACATCATATTCTTCAGAGCTTTTAGTTAGTTATAAATATGACACATGGGACAGAATATTTTTATAAATTGCTAGAATAAAATATTTTGTAGCTTTTAAACCTTCTACCCCCAGAATCTCTGAGAAAGAAGATGACTACTGCATTGACCTGGTTTGATTACTATATTACACTGGCAAGAATTTTGTGTGTACATTTTGCTGATATATCTCCTAGGGCAAGGGGAACAAAGGAAAAAATAAGCATAAGGGACTACATCAAATTAGAAAGCTTCTGTACACCAAAAGAAACCATCAACAAAATGAAAGGGTAACCCACTGAATGATCAACATATTTGCTAATCATATATTTGATAAGGGGTTAATTTCCAAAATTTATAAAGAACTTACAAAACCCAACACCAAAAAAAAACAATCCAATTTAAAAAATAGTCAAAGGACCTGAATAGACATTTCTTCAAAGAGGACATACAAATGGCCAATAGACATATGAAAAAATGTTCAACATCAGTAATCATCATAGAAATGCAAATTAAAACCTCATTGAGATATCACCCAAACAACAAGTGCTGGTGAGGATGTTGAGAAAGGGAACCCTAGTACACTCTTGGTGGGAATGCATACTGATATAACCACTGTGAAAAACAATATGAAGTTTCCTCAAAAACTTAAAAATGGAACTGCCTTTTGACCTAGTGATTCTACTTCTGGGAATATATCCTAAGAATCCCGGAACAGGAATTGAAATGAATACACGCACCCCTATGTTCATAGCAGAGTTATTTACAATAGCCAAAACCAGGAAACAGCCCAAGTACTCATCAGTAGTTGAGTGGATAAAAAATAGCTCTGGTACATTTTCACAATAGTGTACTAGATGGCTGTTAAAAAAAAGGAGGGGAAGAAATCTTAACTTTTGCAACAGCATGGACCTGGAGATTATTAAACAAAGTAAAATAAGCCAATCAGTAAAAGACAAATACCATATGATCTCACTTATATGTGAAATCTAATAAACAAAATAAACTGACAAAGTAGAAACAGAGGTATGGATACATGGAATAGACTGACAGCTGTCAGGAGGAAGGGGGAGACTGGGACTGGATGAAAGGTGAAGGAATTGGCTAAAGAACATATGCTAACAAACTGACAGTAACCAGAGGGTAGGTGGGAAGGGATAATAGGGGGGAAAGAGGGAAGGGTTTTCAGGAATATGTATAAAGGACACTTGGACAAAATCAAAGGGGGATCAAGGTGGGAAGTGGGGATGGCTGGGGTGAGGGGGAAATGGAGACAACTGTACTTGAAAATCAATAAGAAATGAGAAAAAAAGAACATATATGCACAATCCACCAAGACAAAAGTGTGGTGATGGTCAGAGGGAAGTGGGGCAAGGGTGGGGGAGTAAGGTAGGCAATGGGGGACATAGTGACATCCGTAATAGTGTAAACAATAAAAATAAAGGAAAAAATTTGTGTGTATATGTTTTAAGAAAACATAGCATTAATTTTACCATCTTAATGACTCTTCAATTTACAGTTCAATAGTGTTAAGTATGTTTATATTGTTGTGCAACAGATTTCTAGAACTTTTTCATCTTGTAAAGCTAAAGCTCTCTATACCCACTAAGTACTAATTTCCCCTCCCACCCTGGCACCCACCTTTCTACTTGCTTTGATTTTGACTACTTTGTATAAGTTGAATAAAATCATACAATATTTGTTTTTGCCTAGCTTATTTCATTTAGCATAGTATTGCCAAGGTTCACTTATGTTGTAGCGTATAACAGAATATCCTTCTTTTGAGGTTACATTGTATATCCACATTTTCATTATCCATTCACCTGTCAGTGGATATTTGGGTTGCTTCCACCTCTTGGCTATTGTGAATAATGCTGGGATAAACATGAGTGTGCAAATATATTAAACATCCTGATAGAATTTTTATGACTAAATAGATGCTTATCTATTAGCATTCATAAAATTGAATATAAATATTTTCTTCTATATTATGTTAGGTATTTTTCCATGCCTAAGCCATCCCTTTTTCAAAATACTGTTTTTTAAATCTTTAGTTTCTTTGTCCTACTGTGACCAGATTTGAATATAGTCTTTTTCTAGTCCTTCCTTTATATGAGCTTTTTCCTTTTCATTCTGAACTTTCTACTTTTCATCCTGTCTGTCTGTATGTTCTTAGCTCATTCCTATTTATCCTCTTCCCCTTCACCCGCCCTTTCCTCCTTTGTTGTTATCTTAGTTTTTTATTTGTGTAAATATGAAAGTAAAAAAGAAGAAATAAATGGATATGCTTGTTTGCTACCATCTATTAACTGACATCACTGTCCTCTCTTTGTCTAAATCCTAACCCTGGTTAAATTCAGCTCACCGCCTACTCCAGGCCTGAAACCTGCCAGGTAAAATGAGGAACTAGTTTCAAACACACAATTGTGCTGATTGCTCTCACTTAAAATTCATGACCACAAATCTCAAATGTGTCCATGTGCTGCCAGCAGTCTTGTCTATTTCCTTAGTCTGGTGGTTCTCAAAGTATGGTTCCCAGACCACTAGCATCAACATCACTCAGGAACTTGTTAAAAATGCACATTTTTTTTTTTGCTTCATCCCAGACCTTATGAATAAGAAACTCTGGGGTAGAGGGCAGTAAATCTATGTGATTCTGATGCTGTGGTTTGAAAACAACCACCTTAGTCAATTCATGCACCTATTTTTTGAAAATACTTTTTCATACTTTCACTGTTCTCAAATTGCCAATGATCCTGTCCCTTCCCAACTCCCACCTGATGATCAGTTTTATTTCAAAGCAAATGGAAAATAGAAGTACTCAGAAGAGAACTTCCTCATCTTCCTACTTCCTACATGTACATCTGTTTGCATCTACAGGTGCTCCTGTACCCTGCCTTCTTCGCTGTCACCAGGACCAACCCCCAACCCCACTTGTGCATCTCATCCCATCCCCCTCTCTTTCCTAGAAATATATTTCGTCTCTGCAGATCTTCCCCATCAGCACACAAATGTCTCTCTTTAATGAAAAACAAAACAAACAAACCTCCCTGAAAATTCCTAAGTACTGCTATGGAATCATCTATTGGACATGCTGTTATATGAAAACGTTCAATATTTATATGTATTTCCCTATTTTCAAAAAAAGAGAAGGATAAGCCAAAAATTAATACCAATAGTTACCAATGAGAAGAGAGAGGTTGGGAATAAGGAGAGGGGCCAAAAGCTAGAACTCTCTGAATGGCATTTATTTACAGTTTTCACTTGGGAACTATATACATATTTCATATAATTAAAATATCAGCCGTGGCTGGTGTAGCTCAGTGGATTGAGTGTGGGCTGGAAACCAAAGGGTCACCAGTTCGATTCCCAGTCAGGGCACATGCCCAGGTTGCAGGCCAGGTCCCCAGTAGGGGGCACATGAGAGGCAACCACACATTGATGTTTCTCTCCCTCTCTTTCTCCTTCCCTTCCCTTCTCTCTAAAAATAAATAAATAAAATATTTTTAAAATGTTTTAAATATCAAATTAGGTCAAAATCTAATTGAAACAAATTGATCTTACTATGTAACAAATTGAAAGGATAACCACAAGTAGTCTTTGACATGGACAAACCAAATAGGGGAGCCCTGGCTAGTGTAGCTCAGTGGATTGAGCGCGGGCCTGCGAACCAGACAATCGCAGTTCGATTCCCAGTCAGGGCACATACCAGGGTTGCAGGCCGGTTCCCTGAAGGCCAGTTCCTAGCAGGGGATGCATGAAAGGCAACCATACATTGATGTTTCTCTCCCTCTCTCCTTCCCTTCCTCTCTAAAGATAAATAAATAAAATCTTAAAAAATATATTTAAAAAAAAACCAAATAGGGGTAGGATTGAGGGTGGGAGGTGAAGGTAGGTGGAGCAGGGGAAAATGGTGGTGGGAAAATGGAGACAACTGTATTTGAACATTAATAAAAAATGATTTAAAATTTAGGTGACTTTAAAATAAAACGGGGTTGCTTCTACATAATTTTAGACTTACAGAAAATTCAAAGGACAGTACAAATAACTACCGACACCTTTTGCTCAGATTGCACATATGTCAACATTTTTCTACATTTGTTTTATTCTTCTCAGTCTCTCTTCATCTAGCACTTTGTCTATCGACTTATATACTTCCTAAAAATAAGAAATTATTTTAATGACCACAGTAACATTATCAAACTCAAGGAATTTATGTTGAAAAAATATATAGATATTTTTCCAATTTCTTGGCTAGCGGCAGGCCAAGTATCTCCTTTCCCCTTTCTGGTTCTTACCTCCCATTCTCACAGAGGAAGCTCAGGTTCAGAGAAAAGGCATGCTCAGGGAGGGCAGTGAATTCCCTAGGAGCAGGGCTCAAGGAGAGTCATTTAATCTGACCCTTCTTATTTAGAGGTAAAATGAATAAAGAAAACAAAGAGGCTGGGAGGGTGGACCAAAAAGGGGCATCAGCATCCCCTAAGGGCCAAGATAAAATGTAGGTAAAGTCAGAGGTTTCAAGAAACATTTTAGCACAAGGTGTAAAATATATTATTCCTTAAACAAATATAGACTGTCACTCAAAGGAAGAAAACATTGCATGAAAAAAGCAGAAAATATATTTTCTTGAGCACCCATGCTTCCTGAGTAATTCTTTTTTAAATTTATGTTTAAATATTGATGCCATACAATATTATATTAGTTTCAGGACTACAACATAGTGATTAGAATCCTGAGTATACTTCTTAGCACCATAGCCCAATATTGGAAGCAAATAATTCCTGAAAAATATTAGATAGAACAGATAAGTTTTTGGAGAAAGCCAAAAGTGAGAATAGGAAAAATAATGCAAGCATCCAAAATAATTCCAGAAGTTTTTAGTGTATTACTCTATTGTCTTGTTATTTGGTTTCGTGCAAATTGAATTGTTCCTCTTAAATTAATCCTTATTTTTTGTTTGTTTTTTTGTTTGTTTTTTGTTTGTTTGTTTGTCTTTCTTTCCAGCCCCACTGTGTTCTCCTCGCCTCAAAGGAAAACTCGGCACCTGTTAAACTCGGGGGCTTTGGGGTAGCTATTCAATTAGGGGAGTCTGGACTTGTAGCTGGAGGTAAGAACACTTTTTTAAAAATATTCTTCAAAACCTGGTCACTTTTAGGCTGGTAAAACTTTCAAAGTAAATATTAGCCTGTCTTCACTGTTTCATACCATTCCACCCAACCCTACCCTGCCCCAAAAGTACCATCATATAGTTTTGAATTTAATAACTCTATAGTCACAACTAGAATTTTAGTCCCTTAAGAATAGACTGTCCTTTTATTATTTGTATCCTCAGCACTTAACAGAGAAAAGACCCTACAGACAGAAATATTTGAAGCAGTGACTTTTAAAGTTGAACTGACCAAATGACATCAAATCAAAATTGTATGGATTATCTACTTTCAGGCTTATACCTATAGCTAGTTTTTAATTTCGTACTGTTTTACTCATTCCATTTGTCAGAGAACTGCTCAAGCCATAATCTGTGTATTTCGAAAGAGCAAGCAGATGTGAATGCAGACTGATTTTATTATTAGCCAAAGCAAAAAACATAACTGGAAAATTCCAGGTCAGAGAATGAAGAAAAGTTAAAATAGAGACTTTCTTCACTAGTGTACAGAGGTGGATGCTCGTTACAGATTCAAATATTTGGGTTTTTTTGTTTATTCCTCTGAATAGACTCCAGCTCAGAATGCTGCTCTATTTTTAGTTATCTTCCTTAGTTTTGCAAATTACTTAGTTCTCTATTTTACAGACTAACAGTTTTCTAGTCATTTCCTTCTCTTTTCTATCTCCAAATTCTGCCAGCCTTCACAAAGAGGAAAAATGTGGAAGGACTTTTTAAAACCTGTCATCTTTCAAGATTGCTTGTATTAAATTCAAATACCTGATAAATGATAAATATCAAAATAATAATGTTACACAGGCTATTTCATTTCATTAACTAGTCCTAAAGCAGCACAGCAGTAGTAACACAGACCATCAACTGAAAAATGAGCCATGAGTCATAGTTATAGTCTTTAAATCATTATTTCACCACATTGCCCTTTAAATTAAATTAGGTTTAAATTTTCTTTCTGTTTTACATTTTCTTCCAGCTAATCATTTCCAATGATATGAGAAACTGCAAGTTGAATATAATTTTAAAAACTGATTTCTTTTCCTAATTCAGAACTTTTCATTCATGATCAGAAGACTTACCAAAGGAACAGGCGGTAAAGCATAGTTTAATCATAAAGTCATTGAATCTTGGGATTCGAAGACGCCTTAACTTCTCTAGTCTTATAACTAATGATTGAATTCTCTCAAAAATTCCCAGCAAAACGTTGAGCTCCAACTGAATTCTTCAGATGGCAAAGAATTTACTATGTCCCAGGACAATTTATTCCATTTTTGGAAAGCTTTTTAAGTATTAGAACCTTTTTTTTAAGTATTGAAACATTCATTCTTACATTGAATAGAAAGTCTGTTTTCCTATAACTTCTACCCAGTGATCCTAATTCTGACTTTTGGAGCCAGGCTGAACAGTTTTAATCCTTCCATGTGATAGCCATTCAGATGTTTGAAGATAGCTATCATTTTCCCTGAAGTCTTGTCCAAGTTAACTTCCCTAGCTTAATCTTGCCATGCCTCATGTAAACTGCTTCAGCATTTCCTCACTATGCACAAAGTATGGAGCTAGAACTGAATACAATTACAGGTACAGTCTGGCACACAGTAGCTTGGAGCTATCACTTCTTTTGCTGTGGGTATTAAATTTCTCTCAGACTCCCCAAGCTGTATTAGCTTTGTGGACAACCACATGATGCTGCTGGTCCAAATTAACCTTGCAATCAACTACAAGTCTTAATTGTTGTTTTTAAACAAATAATTGCTGTTAAACTAACATTCAAATTCAGTATTTGTACAGATCACCCTTGTGTTAAGACTACGTAACAAGTAATTTCTGATAAATACACCCCTAAGGTTGATGGGATAAAATGAAATGAAACTGATTGCTCTTATCTGTTATATAGTGGTTACATATAATGATTTTGTTTCTATTGATCTGGATCAGCATCCGGTTAGTATTCAGAATGGCATGGGCTTCATATTTTAGTGTGTATCTCAATTGAGTGGAAAAAACAGATCCATTAAATTTACCTGGACATTTTCTACATGTTAATCTATTTTCCAAAAGTCCATGAGCCTTTTCCCTTAATTACATATTTTCAGAGCTGATTTTGAACCAAAAATGTGTGTGTCATGCAAAATTTATTTTTATCAGTGTTTGTAGAATTAAAACACTTTCTGATGAACAAAGTTTTGTCATTTCTTAACATACTTTTCCTTACAGTCTTGAAATAATTACTTTAATTATTACAGTGTCTTTAAAAACATGATATATGCAGAGAGGGATAAATGATTTTTTTATAAAAAGCTTTCCTGTTGTTTAAGTTACTATTGAAAATTTTGTTAGTATTTATCAGCTAATTTGCTGATATTTAACAAAATGCTATTTTCCTGTCAGTTTGAATCTTTGATTAGTCAGTCCTCTAAATGGAAAGAAATTCCCTCCCTTATATGTTCTGTACAATAAAAACCATTTACATTTACAGGGTAGGTAAGTAGGCTTACAGTTGCACAAATAAATAATACAATAATAAATAAATAATACAAGAAGAAACTCTCTGTTTCACATACTCACAACTATAAACCTACTTTTGTCCACCCCTGTATTTACATTGCTCCTGTCTAAAACTCAGCTATTTGGAAAACTTATCCAGAAGATATCTAAGAACGTAGAAAATCATTATAGTAGCAGCAAGACTCTTCCTGCCTTTAAAACCTGCAGATTATTTATTCTCTCAAGTGAGCATTTAAAGACACTGTGAGGCTGGCATACTCTCATTTTACAGAAAGTTGTCTGGATTTGTGTTCCTTTATACCTTACACCTCTCTACCCCCTGGTTTGAATACCCTTTGTGATTTTATCTGTCTAGATCACAGGCGGCAAACACAAGGCCTGTGGGCCAAATCCGGCGCTCCACCTTGTTTTATCCAGCCTGGCACCTTGTTTCTACCCAACAGTGCCAACCAACCTCCTTGCCCCCAGTTAAGGAGTAGTTACATTTATACAGTCCTAAAATTACATTTGGCCCTTTGAAAGCAACCGCAAGGCTAATGTGGCCCCTGGTAAAAATGAGTTTGATACTCCTGATCTAGATAGCTTTTACTCTTCTTGAAGCCTAAGCTAACAAATATCTTAAGAGCAGGCTGAGCTTCACCATCCCAAGTTAGGTAACCTACTGCTTCTCTTCCAAATTACTATAACTATCTGAGGTACATACCTCCATGTAGCATTTGATGCAGAGATTTATAATCATATCAAAGACTAAGCTTTGTGAGGGTCCAGCAAGATCATGGCTTATCCCTCTGTATGTCCATAGCACCTACCGTGGTGTCTAGGACCTAGTAGGCACTTAAGTTGTTATTAAATGAAAGATTCTGGTTGCTCATTAGTTTGCAGGTAACAGCAAATTTTATGCAACAAATTAGAAGCCGAAGCTGGAGTGAGCCTAGTGAGAGAATAGAAATGAAAGCCAAACAAAAAAAAAAGACATTGATCAGATACCATAACTTGGAAAGCACAGCAGCATTTTAATACTGATCAACCCTTGCATACAGCTGAAGTTCCTGAGAGGATTTCCTGTTCTATACCATTGCTCTTTAATTGATATCCACAATGACAATTCTGAGTCATCAAGAAAAGGTTAAATTATGTGCAACATCTTGTGTAAAAGAAGTCAGGAAATTGAAAGAAGATAGCCATCCAAAACTGTTAAAGTAAAAAGGTTTGGGTGCATAAAGATTCAAGTTCTACAGTATTGAAACTGTAGCTATTCAAAACAATTCCCTCCCTGAAGTTCTGGGTAATAAATTCTTATTATATTATCAGAAAACATAGCATTTAAATATTTAAGTTTATCTGATGTATGTCATAATACAGTGACATTTAATTTGATTTGATGACTGGCTTCCTCTTCTTAGAATTTTGTGGTCAAAGTCATAAAAATCAAGTGGCCACAAAAAAGGAAAAGCTCACAGAGATCACAAAGAAGCAGTTTGGGGTGGTCAGTAAAGGTTAATTCCAATACTTGTACATTCTACTGATGTGCACAAAATAAAAGAGATCATTCCTATATATTCCTTCTACCATTGTCATCTATCATCTAAGCAAATTCTTGAACCAAAATACATGCATCTTCCTTAAGGATGAACACTAATTCTCCACATCAGGGTAGTCTTCACCCAGATAAATGTAGAGAAGCTCCTCTGGACGACTGGGGCTGGCCATAGTGGCTCTGACTAATCCCAAAATGAGGCCCCCATTTTGAGTCACTTGCACCTTTCTTATTTGGGAAGTGGTAGGAAGTAAGTTGAGTTTCAAAGCATTATTCAAACTTACCAGCAAGTTCCCTGATCTCTTGTCCTACCCTACCTTTCTCATGCCAACTCCTGTCCATCAGAACAGGGTGAATCTCCAATGGCCACACCTTGTCCCAGGCTGTTATTAACAAAGTAGGAGGCTTAGGTCTCATCACTTCAGCTTCTTTATGTTACTTGAGGAAGCAAAATGCGAAATAAAAATATTTTCTTCTAACCAGTGGAGTTTTCACTGATCTTCTGTAACTTTTAAATGAAAATATTTTCACTCTCTAAACCCTGAACTTAATCTCTTCTATTGTGTGGGAGGTAGAGGAACCATAATGATCTGCAGCCAGGAATATCCCCAGCACACAAAGACTTGCTTTGTCAGTCTCCATCCAAACCAAGTTTGACAGTTACTAAATACAACTTTGTGATACATTCTCTCTAGCTGGATTTAAATATCTCTAAGGTCTTAATCACAGTATTATGCAGTGTTCAAAGTAAAAATAATCTGGGACTCTCCATGGAGAAAGAGAGAGAAGAAGAGGAGAGAGAGAAAGAGAGGGGGCTGGGCCTGTATACAGCTAGAAGAGCTGCCAAAACTGCTGGGCAGTGCCCCCTCCCACAATAATTTGCTATAGGGTACAAACCTTTCTACAG